ATGTCTTTGCTATTGTGAATAGTGCTGTGATGAACATATGATTGCACATGTCTTTTTGATGGAATGGTTAATTTTCTTTTGGATATATACCCAGTAATGGGATTGTTGGGTTGAATGGTAGTTCTATTTTAAGCTTTTTGAGAACTCTACAAACTGCTTTCTACCATGACTGAACTAACTTACATCCCCACCCGCAGTGAATAAGCATTCCCTTTTCTCTGCAGCCTCACTAGCATCTGTTGTTTTTTGACTTTTTAATAACAGCCATTCTGAATGGTGTGAGATAATATCTCACTGTAGTTTTGATTTGCATTTCTCTGGTGATTAGTGATGTTGGCCATTTTTCATATGTGTGTTGGCCGCTTGTACAGCTCCTTTTGAGAAGTGTCTGCCCATGTCTTTTGCCCAATTTTAACAAGGTTACTGTTTCCTGCCTGTTGCACTGTTTAAGTTCCTTACAGATTCTGGATCTTAGACCTTTGTCAGATGCACAGTTTGTGAATAGCCTCCCATTCTGAAGGTTGTCTGTGTGCTATGTTGACAGTTTCTTAGGCTGTGCAGAAGCTCTTTAATTGGATCCCATTTGTCAATTTTTGGTTTTGTTGCAATTGCTTTGGAGGACTTGGTCATAAATTCTTTCCTAAGATCAACGTCCAGAATGATGTTTCCTAGGTTTTCTTCTAGGATGTTTCATTTGAGATCTTACATTTAAATCCTTTATCCATCTTGAGTTAATTTTTGTAGATGAAAGGTAAGGGTCCAGCTTCATTGTTTTGCATGTGGATAGTCAACTATCATGGCAGCATTTATTGAATAAGAAGTCCTTTCCCCATTGCTTATTTTTGTTAACTTCGTTGAAGATCAGATGGCTGCAGGAGTGTGGCCTTATTTCTGGACTCTCTATTCTGTTCCATTGGTCTATGCGTTTGTTTTCGTAATGGTACCATGTAGCTTTACAGTGTAGTTTGAAGTCTAATAAGTCTCTGGCTTTGTTCTTTTTGCTTAGAATTGCTTTGGCTGTTCGGGCTCTCTTTTGGTTCCAAATACATTTTAGAATAGTTTTTTTTTTTTTTTCCTAATTCTGTGAAAAAAAACTGACATTAGCAGTTTCATAGAAATAGTGTTGAATCTGTAAATTGCTTTGGGCAGTATGGCCATGTAACATATTGATTCTTCCAATTCATGAGCATGGGATGTTTTTCCGTTTGTGTCATCTATGATTTAAAACGAAAGCTCTTACATAGCTTTTAAAAGGGTTTCCCGTGGAATCTAAATGTCAAAGCAATTTCATATCAAACATAATTCAATTTAAACATACGTGAACAAGCTCATCTTTAACAGGCAAAAAATTACTCCATTTACTCCTTAAACTTGTATTTCCATTCCACTTTCCATACATAATGCTATGTTAATATGATATACTCAATGCCTGAAATTCTATTGATCACCCATAATTATCTATGACAAAAACACGCATATAAATTGAAATTAATTTTTACTATTTTCTGTGACCGTATGGCTCCAGGTATCAAAGAAATCTCCCTGGACTGAATTATCATTAAAGGTACTGTTAATATGAAATTTATCAAAATAACAAAAACATTTTAAAGAAATTATTAAACATAAAAATTTGGATTTTATTGGGAAAGTTATTCTTTACTCCACTTCTTACTAAAATAGGCAGGGTCCTCATCAACATTTTTCTAATTGTACAATTATTGTTGCTATTGCTATTGTAAGCAATATAAAACTTTCTTCATGTAAAGAAGTACATAAGCTGGGTGTGATTGTTCATGCCTGTAATCCCAGCGCTTTGGGAGGAGGACTGCTTGAGCCTAGGAGTTAGAGACCACCTTGGGCAACATAGGGAGAACTCATCTCTACAACAAATAAAAACATTTACTTTCTGGGCATGGTGACTCACACCTGTAGTCCCAGTTGCTAGGGAGGCTGAGTTAGGAGAATCCCTTGAGCCTAGGAGTTTGAGGCTGCAGTGAGCCATGATTGTGTCACTGCATTCCAGCCTGGGCAACAGAGCAAGACCCTGTCTCAAAAAAACAAACAAACAAAAAATGGCCAGGCACAGTGGCTCAAGCCTGTAATCCCAGCTCTTTGGGAGGCCAAGGTGGGTGGATCACCTGAGGTCAGGAGTTGGAGACCACCCTAGCCAACACGGTGAAACCCCATCTCTACTAAAAATACAAAAAAATTAGCCAGGTGTGGTGGTGCATGCCTGTAATCTCAGCTACTTGGAAGTGTGAGGCAAGAGAATAGCTTGACCCGGAAGGTGGAGGTTGCAGTGGCTGAGATCAGGCCATTGAACTCCAGCCTCAGCAACAAGAGCAAAACTCCATCTCAAAAAAAAAAAAAAAAAAAAAAAAGAAAAGAAAGAAAGAGAAGAAGAAGTAGACAAGAATGGAAGCAATTTTATCCTAGCAATATCAATTACTCATGCTCCTTCTGATACAGTGATCTATCATCAAAAATATTTAATGATCTAATTTTCTGACAACTCAATTAGGTCTTCTCTCAATTTTCATGAAAGCAAAGAATTAGAAATCATCTGATCTGCAGAAAGATTTATTACTTAGTCAACAGAAGCATTCATTTTCTAAAAAAGAAGTCGCCAATCCAGCAATTTGTCTGGCATCCCAGATATCTGCCCCCGTGGGGCAATGCACCCTAGTAAGATGGGAGAGAGTGAAGGATGTCTTCTTGCATTTCTGAAGCGGCTGTTATGAAAGAGGAGACAGAATGAAGAAGCTCCATTCAGCAGCAATGGCTCACGGTCATTCAGTTCTCACCAGAGCAATTACAGGAAAGAATGCACAGAAATCACAGACCCAGAATTTAAAAAGAAAAAAAACCATGTACCTGTGTAGCCTTAGAAAGCCCTCATGTACCCCTGAAGATGGGGGTACCCAAATTTGAAGCCCGTGGCTGTGTCCCCATTAAACTGGGAGGTGAATCTCCACGGAGCTAGGAACTGGCAGCTGGAGCTTCCTTGACATCTCCAGGTGGCTTTGCGGATCACAGGGCCCTTTGAAATGTTAGAGGTCCCCAGGGAAAAGAGATTCTCAGGACAAAAAAAGTTTGGGGAAAGCTTCCTATTCCTTCTGCCTCTTACAGATTCACAATACAATCTGCATACTAAAGACTAAAGAAACCTGATTAATTTTGTGTAATGCAAAATTTCCCAAACTAATCTGGCTCTCCCCTCCCACCTCCTTCTTTCACAAAGAATGCCTGAGTACAACTAAAGAGACTTCAGTCATCTGCTCCGGAGCCTGGTGCAGTCCTGAGAGCTCCCTATAAGACCTGGGCAATTCATAGCAGCCACTGGCCTTCTAAAGCTCTCCAGAGGGACTAGGACCTGAGATCGGTTTGTTTCCTTGTGTGGACCAAAAAGTATCCGAGACAAGTCTCCATCAGTTTCGAAGTTTATTTTTCCAAGGTTAGGGATGTGCCCAGAAGAAATAAACATGGAATCCCAGAAACAGTCTGTGGTCTGCACCTTTCTCCAAAGATGATTTTGAGGGCTTCAAAGGGGAAAAGTAGGCTGGAGGGGAAAGAGGAGGGGTGTGGTCACATGATTGAACGCACAGGTTGAAAGAGAAAAGGAGCAAGTAGGGGAACAGCCAATTACGTATTCACCTTGGGTCTAAAAGGAGAACATAGAGTAACTATCTGCAGGGGTACTGAATATTTTATCCGTGGCTATCTTAGGAACAAAAGGTACCTTCTTGCATGACTCTGCTTTCAGCTGAATTTGTTTTCTTTTGGCAGAGTGAATTGGGGTCCTAAGTTTTTTTTTCTTTTACACTTGCACTTTATGGATTCTGTTACCTACTCAGAAAATGCTACATTGTGTTCTAGCTTTCCTATTGATGACATTCACTTTTAGATGGAGGCTCTCATATAATTAGAAGGTTTCTGCGATATTGATTTTGGGCAGCACCCACAGCAGACAGGAACTTGAAAGTATTTCCTACGTGTTACATCCACAAGCGGATGGTCAACTTGGCACGTTGCTAGCTGTCCCTGTGGGTCCCCTGGTCATCAACAGTACGGTGCCAGCTGAGAAGGATTAAAATTAGATGCAGAGGAAAGTAAAGAATCCAAACATGTAAGAGTGGGGAGTGTACATGTAAGAGAGAGGGAGATTCTGCCTGAAAACAGATGCCTTTCATTATGCTCAGAGGCACATGATCTGTTTTTTAATCATCTGGCTTAAATTTTCCATTTTTCATTGCAGAACACCAAGAGTTGGCTACGTAGTCATGATGAAGATGAGCACACAAATTTCAAGTGTCACAGCTGGAAAGAGAGGCCTCCTCAGTTGTGCATTGCATGGGAATGAGGATCAAGTCACCTGACTCGATACAGGCTTTGGGACCTCTCAGGCATCCAATCTCTCTAATCCACCGAAGAGACACAATAATGAGCCCCTACTATCCCTTCCCTTTTCATCAGGAAGACTGCAAATTAGATATTAGTCAATATTGTATGCACAAGTCATAAATATTTGGTAGCATGTAGATCAGTTAGATTCTCCATCCTTGACTGCAGCTCAAAACTCAAATCAATCAGAGCCTGCTGGGGGAAGAAAGACAGCCCGTAGAACACCTTTTTTTTTTTCTTGAAATACAAGAATCATGAGGCATATCTGCCTGTATATTAACTTAATTCCCCTATTCAGAACAAGTGGATTGGATGGCGCCAACAGCAAACAACGCGGATTCCTGGCTCTGCCTCAGCCAAAATGCATTTTACCCTTTGGAAACCTCAGTTCCAACCTGGGAAGCTGGAAAGGCACTAATGAATTTCTACAAGGCTCTGCAAACCAAGGAGGGCAAAGCAGCAAAGAGCTGGAAGAAATGAGACTAAGAGTGAAAACAAGCTTTTTATTTCAAAACAACTAGAGATTTCTTGGAGAATTATATATTTTTTAAATGCCCTTCTATGGGAAAACAAAGGCAGAAATAAAATGGCTTACTTACATTTAAAGGAGACTTTAGCAGCTGAAGTGTGACGGAAATAAACTCTTCGCTCTCCAGGTCCCAGAGAAAGCTGCCCTGGGATAGATAACGCCATCGGCACCACAGACCACCCGTTCTAGAGGGAGGGTGCGTCAAGCTCTGATTAAAAATTTATCCAGGTGTGGAGAACAGCTGTAGCTGATTTCTTCAGCGTGCCTCTGCCAATTTCCCAAGAAAAAGAAACAATCTTTTTTCTCTCCATCTGCCCTTCCAAGAAGTAGCTGAGGACAGGGAGAAACAGGGAATCTAAATGTTGTTCAAGTGGGTGCGTTCTGATCCAAACCCACCGTGTGGCATAAATCTGTCATTTTGATTCCGCTGGGGAGGCATTTGCAAACCCGGAAAGTGAGAAGTGAAATTAGCCCAGGTGTGAACCGGGCATGAGGCTGAGGGGCAGGGAAGGGGGACACAGCATTCTTTGCTGTGGCCATGGGTGTGGAATTGGGGGCAGGGCTGGTCCCTTTGCAGCCTCTGTGTGTGTGTGTGTGTGTGTGTGTGTGTGTGTGCTCTCGCGCTGATGGAAGCCTCGTTTACACACAGCACAAGGAAGCTGGGCCTTCTCCTCCGTGGTTGGTGAATCTGTCAGACTGCGGGAATCAAACAACAGAAGGCAGGTGTCGGCGTTTAAATGCCTAAATAAGCCTTATCTATCCGAGGGCTGAGGCCATGGGCCATGGCTGGGCCTAAGCTTAGAGAAAACTGATAAGTCATCACTGGATTATTTATTCTTTATCATTATGTTTTAGTTTGTTTTTTATTTTAATACAGATGAGGTTTCACTGTCACCCAGGTTGGAATGCAGTGGTGAGATCACAGTTCACTGCAGCCTCAACCTCCTGGGCTCAAGTGATCCACCCCAGCCTCCTGAGTAGCTGAAACTACAGGTGCACTCCACCACACCCAGCTATTTTTTAAATATATATATTTTCTGTAGAGACCAGGTCTCACTATGTTGTCCAGGCTAGTCTTAAACTCCTGGCCTCAAGCCATCCTCCCACCCTAGCCTCCCAAAATGTTGGGATTACAAGTGTGAGCTCTGTGTCTGGACGTCATCAGCAGATTAGACAAAGCTCTAATCCTTTGGGATTGCTTTATTATTCACTGCCCCCAAAGAAGCCTCAAGTATTTCCAACATACTCTATTCTGTTTTATTTTGGTCACAGCCTGCAAATTAGTGGGGAGGAAGAGGGATTACTTCTCACGCAGCAAGGCCACTCCAGGGCTGTTTTAGCAGAAGCTAACACCCACCACCCTAGGCCCGGCAGGGGTAGCAAGAAAAGCAACGAGGCATGGCGGGAAGGCTTAGGCTTAGGTGGCAGGTGGGTCATTTGTGTACAAATCCCAGCTCAGATTTTGGGCTTCAACTGTCAGCTTTAACTGTTTCATTTCTAAAGTGGCCCTCACCTTAAGGTCACCATGCACACTGAAGATGATCACATCAAGTGCAGGGCACCCAGCAGGCATGCAGATGGCCACTGTTAGTACTATTACTACTGCAATAATTACTCTTCTTTCAAAATCAGAGTAACACTGTCACCGGGTGCGACACTGGTGTATTAAGGACAGACGTCAGATATTACCAAGGCTGCTTCATGGAAGGTTGCTGGGGTGGAAGGGGAGGCAGACTGCTAGAGAGGGTGGGGCAGGAGGGCTGGGGGTGGTGTGCCTGGGACAGGTAAGAATCAGTGCCCCAGACCCAGGGGTGAAGGAAAGGGGCATGAAGGATGGTGGGAGCATTATGATAAAGGCAACAGATTGGGGGGACAGTTCTGAATCAGAAACGGAGCAGACTTCTGGACTGAACATGTCCTCCTGGACAGGACAATGCAGAAGTGGCCTGGAGCTCACAACCAGGCTGTGGCACTCGGGACGAGCGGGGACTCCTCTCCTGGGCTCCTTCTGCAGACGGGGTGCATGGAGTTGCTCATCTAAGCGTGAGGATAGCAGAGCCCCTTTATGGGACTTCAGGAGGAGCCTAGAAGGTGCAAATTGCTTGGGCAGTATAATCTCCAAACTTTGGCCAGGCATGGTGGCACACACCTGTGATCCCAGTGCTTTGAGAGGCTGAGAAACGGTGATTGCTTGAAGCCAGGAGTGGAGACCAGCCTGGGCAACATAGCGAGACTTGGTCTCTACAAAAAATTTAAAATTTACAGGCATGGTGGCATGTGCCTGTAGTCCCAGCTACCCAGAATGCCGAGGCATGAAGACTGCTTGAGCCCAGGAGTCTGAGGCTATAGTGAGCTATGCCTGCACCACTGTACTCCAGCCTGGGCAACAGAACAACACCCTATCTTAAAACTTAGAAACATCTCCAGGCTTTCTTGATTGCTTACATGATTTGATCAAGTACTTTGTTTTATGCTATTCCATGTTATTAATTATTATACACATGTTTAGTTATAACTTATTCATTTGTATGGATGATATATGAAGTGCAGCTTAGGTTAGAGAGCAAACACAGAGAGATCTGCTGTACAACGCTGCGCCTAATGCTCACTGTCTTGTGCCCTTAAAATTCTGTTGAGGGTAGATCTCATGTTAATGGTTCTTATAATTAAAAAACATACACGCATCCTGGGCATGGTGGCTCACACCTATAATCCCATCACTTTGGGAGGCCGAGGCAGGCAGATCACTTGAAGCCAGGGGTTTAAGACCAGCCTGGCCAACATGGTAAAACCCCGTCTCTACTAAAAATACAAACAATAGCTGAGTGTGGTGGTGCACGCCTATAGTGCCAGCTATTTGGGAGGCTGAGGCAGGAGAATCACTTGAACCCGAAAGGTGGAAGTTTCAGTGACCTGAGATTGCACCACTGCACTCCAGCCTGAGCAATAGAGTGAGACTCTGTCTCAAACACACAGACACACACACACAGAACTTCCAATGTTTTTTTCCTGCCTTCCAATGGATCTTCTTACACATCCAGTTTTGGATACTTCTGGTCCCAAAAAGGAGAGGGTCAGGAAAAAGGATTTTTTCACTCCAACCTCATAGAAATAAGAAAAGTCATTTTGGCCAGGCACGGTGGCTCATGCCTGTAATCCCAGCACTTTGGGAGGCCAAGGAGGACAGATCACGAGGTCAAGAGTTCAAGACCAGACTAGCCAACATGGTGAAACCCCGTCTCTTCTAAAAAATGCAAAAATTAGGTGGGCATGGTGGCTCGTGCCTGTAATCCTAGCTACTTGGGAGGCTGAGGTAGGAGAACTGCTTGAACCGGGACCCGGGAGGCGGAGGTTGCAGTGAGCCAAGGTGGCATCTCTGCACTCCAGCCTGGGCTACAGAGCGAGACTCCATCTCAAAAAAAAAAAAAAGAGAAAAGTCACTTTTTCTTCCTCTAATGCAAACAACTGAAAAGACTGAAAGTAGAATAATCTTTTTGTTTTTGTTTGAGACAGAGTCTCACTCTATCGCCCAGGCTGGAGTGCAGTGGTGTAACCTCGGCTCACTGCAACCTCTGCCTCCCAGGTTCAAGTGATTCTCCTGCCCTAGCTTGCCAAGTACCTGGGATTACAGATGCACACCACCACACCTGGCCAATGTTTGTATTTTCAGTAGAGACAAGGTTTCACCATGTTAGTCAGGCTGGTCTCAAACTCCTGACCTCAAATGATCCATCTGCCTCGGCCTCCCAAAGTGCTGGGATTACAGGCATAGCCACGGTGCCCGGCCACACAATCACTTCACTTAGGAGTTTTATAACTTGAAATAGTTCCTGAGAGAAGTGGCATTTTACTGGGGCAAACTACGGTAGATTCTTAGTCTTGTCCTTGGTGGTGTCCTCTGTGAGCTCTTTGGCATAGCGCAAGAATGTTCTTTTGGTTTTCCTTTTTGGAATGTCTCAGGACAGATGACATAGGTCACTGAGCTGGAAGTACAAACAGACAAGCACAGATACAGGGAACTGTCTTCTAAATTCGGGCGTCATTCCTGCTCTGAAAGCAGCTTCTAAATGGAGCAAACAACTCCCTGAACTGCATCAGGAATAACCGCCTTCCATCTTTCACCTTATTAGATGGAGGTTTTTTTTTTTTTTGTAGACAGAGTCTCACTCTGTCACCCAGGCTGGAGTGCAGTGGTACGATCATGGCTCACTGCCACCTCCCCTTCCTGGGCTCAAGCAATCCTCCCGTCTCTGCCTCTCCAGTAGCTAGGAGGCTGCAGCTACAACTACAAGCGCCCGCCCCCGTGCTCGGCTAATGTTTTTGTAGAGAGGGGGTTTCACAATGTTGCCTTGGCTGGTCTCAAACTCCTGAGCTCAAGCGATCCTCCTGTGTCAGCTTCCCTAAGTGCTGGGATTACAGGTTTGAGCCACCGAGCCTGGCCAAGACTTTTTTTTAACGAGGGATTTTAAAAGCTTAACAATGAGAATAGACCCAACAGGTCAGCCATTCCAACTCACCTTTGCTTTTTTCTTCTCTCCTTTTCCACAGTAGGTATCCTCTTTCAGTGCCTGAAGTTTTGATTTCACCTTCTCTAACAAGTACATTAAGCAGCGTAGATCACTCCAAGTCTGTGTGAGCACTATGGTACAGACTCTTGAAATGAAAAATTCCATTGAATTGGTTCCAGAATTGGTGTCTCTTTTCTAATCCTCCATTTATATGATAATCACTTGAAATTCAAGTCATCTGTTACTAGGATTGCAAGAAACTGAGGAATCAAATCTTTTCTTCTGGAGTTCTTTTAACTAATGCCTTTAAACCAAGGTCCCAGCTCTCATGCTCACCTCAACTCTCTCTCTCCCTCTCCCCCTCCCTCCCTCTTCCTCTCCCTCTACCTCTCCCTCTCTCTCTTTCATCTTCTTTAGCTTTTTTAGATTTTTAGATTATTTTTAGATTTAGATTTTTTTTTAGAATTTTCTACAATACTTTCTCCTTACCCTTGTTAAAGCATTTGTTATCACTCCCATCCTCTACTGCTTAATGTTTCTCACACGCACAAATATGCGTGCACATACATACACACTCCACGACTTCCCCGGGCCGGCTCCAAGTCTGGGTGCTGTTTTACTGAGCTATCTATGTTGGGCCTGTGTTTCCATTATTCCACAATATTACCATATTCCTGGAGGATAATCCATTTTCTTGTCTATTTCTTATTTTGATCCACATGTCACATTAAAATGGAGCAAAAGAAAGGGTCTCAAACAAACAATATGAGTGCCTTCTTTAAGATGCTGGCCTTATAGAAGTAGATTTCATGTTTTCCAAAGAGGATCGGGTACAGCCCAGCCGCGGCCAGTCACTTGGCGCCATCTGCTGGACACAGACAAACAGTCGCAGGCAGGGGATATCAGAGTTGACGCATTAGGCACTCACTGCAAACCTGGAACCCTAACGAACCCATGGTTTCCCGCTGAAACGATGCTTTATATCCCTTTATAACAAATCTCTTCAAGTTCTCATCAATATCTCAGAAGCCAGAGGGTTTTTTACTATGTTTTTCCTATTTCCTCTGCTGATTCATAAAGTGCCTTTGCTTTGTTTAATGTAACAACCAAATAACAATTTTTGTTTTGCGTTTTCATGCATCCCCAGCTTCCTGCACGGGAACTGGCACATGTAGGAGCTCCAAAGCGGTGGAGGTTTTTTGTTTATTTGTTTAACTTTGGTTTTTAAACAAAATAATAAGTGATTGATATCTGAGGTGGGGGAAGATGACACACATTTCTATTATCATGAGATAGGGGGATTTT